AAGAAAGAAAGAAAGAAAGAAAGAAAGAGAAAGAAAGAAAGAAAGGTGGGAGGGAAGGAAGGAAGGAAGAAAGAAAAAGGAAACAGATCCAGAGAATCCCCAGGACTCTCAGAACCAGTAACAAAGGCAGATTCTGTGGTGAATGAAACAGGACATTCTCTTCTCCCAACTCAGGAATTCAAGGTCAATAGGAGGAATTTTGTAGATTCTAGACCTCGTCTGACTAGCATCTGAAATGTTCTCCGTCAAACTCAAGATCTGTCCATGGTTCACAGAGCACCTTGTGCCAGTTATAAAGGGCCACCCCTCCCTGGGGTTTCAAACTTGGAGAGTGGAGTGAGGGCTAGATTTCAGGTACCATCCCTCTTGTCTCTTTGCACAGAGCCCAACACACAGAGTGGCCCTTCTTACTCTGTGTAGAATTGATCAAAAATCCCAGGCTGCGTGAAGCTCCTGGACTAGAGTTTCTGATCCCAGGGTTGTTTAGGAATCATATCACAATGAGCTCTGATTCTTGCCAACTTGTTCACTTTTATCAACTCCATAGACATTGTCTCGCCTGGCTGGGCCTAGAATGTGTTTTGTCCCCTTAAAAAAAAATGTAACACTTTTCCTCCCCTAAACCGTAAACCGATTCATTTATTGAACATTCTGTCCAAAATGTGTGCCAGCTTCTTGCCTGGGTTTCTTGCGCTAACGCTTTATGTCAAGGGCAGGCAGGCTCTTCAACTGCAGACCACTGTTGCATTCTGGGCCACCCTGTGGCAAAATCTGTCAGGAATAATTTAAAACATTTTCTTGCCCTTTTTCTTTGGCCAAGATTTGGTTATTGGCAAAGTTGCATATGTTCAATGAATAGCCTTAGCTGTGGATGCCTGCGCAGAACCCTCACCATGGTACTCGAGAATCAGGGTTGACAGCCATGGTAAATAATTTCTAGTGGGTAAAACAAGGATGTCTCCTGAATACCCTCCCTTTTTGTGTGTTCCTCTTTGATACAATACTACTTTGGAATAAACTCTGTGAATTCACAGAGTTCACAAAAAAGAGAACAAAAAGATAAGCCTTCTCTTATGCAAACAAGATGGATTTATTCTCATAAACTGCGAGTGGTTTAAACATAGAACTGATTCTGCTGGTTAGTTATTGCCATAAACAAGGGCTATAGAGCAATTATTCTAAAGCTGGTA